TCCACTGCATGTACTTTCTTCTTTATTGACGTCACTTTGCAGCATTTAGAGAAGTGATTGATTTTTCCACAGCTATTACATGACTTGCCATAGGCTGGACATGACTTGGGTTTATGACTACACCCACATCTACTGCACTTGTACTCAGATGATTTCTCTCTTGTATCATTTTGTTTGGTAGGTGGCTTTCTTTTCGGTTCTCTTTCTACAACATGCACTGCGGTTTCCTCTCTGCGCAGTTCCTTGGCCTGTGCACGGGTTGTTTCTGCAGCTCTACACATGGTGACACATTTCTCCAGTGTCAGTCCCGTCTCACGGAGCAGCCTTTCTCTGAGTGCATTATCATTAGTCCCGCAGACTATCCTGTCTCTAACTAATGAGTCTTTTAAAGTCCCAAACTCACAAGTTTTACTCAGTGTGTGAAGTTCAGCTAAATACTGATCAAAAGGTACTCCTTGTTTCTGGCCATGAGTAAAAAACTTGCACCGCTCAAAAGTCACATTCTGTCTTGGCACAAAATACTCTTCAAACGTATTCATAAGTGCAGTCAACGTCAGGTTAGCTTCATCCATTTGAAAGCTATTATATATGTCCAGAGCATCTTCTCCAATCACATGCAAAAAAATTGACGCTTTCAATTTTTCATCATCACCACCCGCTCCACTAGCTGCTAAGTAGATGTCAGGGATGAAGCAGACAGAGACGGATCGTGGTGCGCCAAACTCTGGAAGTTTATTTAAGTTTCTCTCAAGTTCCAGTGGTTTACAGAATAAAGGCAGTACACAGTTTATATAGTCATTGTCACGTCACACATCGAAAGACGTGTCACACAGAGACAGTCACATCATAGTCAAAATAATCAGAGTCCTTGTACAGTTCTGCACGTAGGCCATATTGCTATCTAATACTAACACCCTCCCCTTTGATCACATAATCACAAGGGATCACTCAATTTGATCAATCAATAAAGTGAAAACAAATAAAAATAAAAAAAAACTTAAAACAATTATTAAAAACAAAGAAAATGTATGCATTGAACTCATAATCATCAATTCAATATCAGTGGAATTTATCCTCTATCCTGGGAAAAATAAACAAACAAATAAACAAACAAAAACAAAAACTATTGGACACAGTAGAACTCAGCAGATTCAGTCAAAACACAGACAAAAACGAGCTGAGTCTCAACTTGAAGCTAATTTCACTTTTATTACTCTTTATTCTAATGCTAATTATTTACATACACTTCACTTATTTCACTGTATTATTATCACTTTTCAATCTTAGACTGTGTACTTTACTTTCATTATCACTATAGTTTAAAACTATTCTAATCTATTCACAAATATGTTTGCATATTTGCTTATATTCAGCCATGTTCTTAAACATATATAAATAATACATCTCTCTGTAGTTTACTTTCATTATCAGTGGCTTTGTGCCAGTGGGATTTTGCTCCATGTCTACTCTACATTCTCAGGAATAAAACTGTGAACACAGAAAGAGAAATGGTTAATATGCTAGAAATATTCTCTATTTTTGAAAGCATCTATGGTTGATGCATTTATCTATTCCTATTTTTACTCTATTGTGACTCTAAAGCTTGGTTGAAGCTTGAGCCAAGGCATATTTCTAGTTTGTGACTTCTGTCACTTTTAATGGCTGTAAAATAACTCTGATTCTAACAGTTTAGCTGCTCTATCAGAAGGATAACATTGTATGGTACTATTTTAACTCTTACGTGGGAATGTGTTTATGAACAACAAAGGAAATCAAATTTTACTTTTTTACTACTATTTAACATCTACTAAAACGCTACAATACTCATACTTTATCATTTTCAAAGTTTTTGTCTGTCTGAATACTTTCCACATGTATTGCATTTGGTCAAGAGTTGTGGTTCTGGTTGTAGCAATAGCATCGGCAATAGACGTTTTTCATTGGCTGGTTCTTGTTCTGAAAATGTCTGTGTCCAATAGATCATCAGATGTCCAGAAGCTAGGGACAAACAAAAACAAAAGAAAGAATCATGAGTATCTGTCTCATTTAGCACTCATCAATGGCATTATTTCAATAATATAAACATCACTCCCCAGTTTTCTCTCTCAGGTCCTCAGGGTCCCCTGAGGGTGAGTCTCAGTCGTCATCAGGTCAGGTCATATTTCGAGAGATGTCATCTTGGACATCAGTACAGGGTCCAAGCCATGGTTTGGTCTCTCCAGATGCACATCGGATCTCCAGATACAGTCTTTTCACTTGAATCGCACATCAGGTCATTTGCGATGCACTTCTGGTCAATGGTGCAGTGTCTCAGTTCCTGTACACAGCTTGTTATGCAGTTAGGCACTGTGTATGGTTAGTCACTTTGATTCTAATCGTAATCAATGTAATTACTTCACACAGTACAAAATCAACAAATCAAAACAAAAAATGTCAAGACAGGCCAATTAAGTCCATGACAATATAGAATTCAAATGAACATTTCTGGTCTCAAAAAATACAGATTCAAATAAAGACTCAAGTGATAGACAATTAAAAATATTTGTTTACATTGGAGTAAACTTTTAAAATGCTTTTTTCTCATGTTCTGCTTTTTCATGTATCTATATGTAAATGTGAATGTGTGAGTGTATGAATGTATGTGTGTGTGTGTATGTAGGGTGTGAATTTTGGGGTTGTGTCTCCAGACTCCTCGAACCACCCGTAGGTCTCAAAGGTCACACTGTGGTGATGCAAAACAACTGGACAGACTCTCAACTCCCCTCCAGGTCTCTCCCTGATGCTCCACCCATCACGTCTCCAGACACCTCTCTCTTCCCCGGTCTCTCTCACACCCACTCAGTTCTGGAGTGGCGTGGGGAGGGGCAAGGAGGTGGCATTTTCCTTTGCTCTTTGATCTGTGACCTGTGCTTGGGTGGTTGCTGGGCTCCTGTGGTCTGAGCTCTCATTGTCCACTCCTGCTGTCCAGTGACCCTGTACAGTGTGTGCCCTTGGTTCTGGAAAACAACCTCATAGTCAAATTAAAAACAACAGATATCAGTATGTGAATGAGATTGTTTTTCTCTCTAAAGTCTAAACAATTTTGGAGCGCTCTTGGCTTTCCCACATGCGCATGTAATAAAGATTACTTATTATCTTACTAATGTGAAACTTTTTAAAACCAGAAACTCTTTCTTAATAAAAAACAAGACTCAAATCTCAAAAAACCCTTCAAACTTTAAAATATGTATTATGTACTTTTGTACTGTGTGTTTAATTATCTATGCGTCCTTGGGTTTCGTGAAAGACGCCATGAAATGAAATTATTTTGGAAAACATTAAAACATAACCTGAAATCAAACTCCAGCTAAACTGGATTTGGTTCAATAAAACTCAATTGTGCGTCGGAGCTGCCTCCTCCTGTCTCTGGGCAGCAGCAACAGGAGCAGCAGCGCAGGAGCAAGGTCAGGTGCATAGTCAAAACAAAAGTCACCGCTTGCAATGTGAATTGGGTGAATTGGGTACAGTTCAACCCAATAATATGATACTTTTACAGCTAATCCTAATTCCCTCTTTCTTTTTAGATGAAGTCTATAATCAATAATCACTTTTAACACAGATTCTAATTTAAATGTTTGAAAAATGGCTTTTGTAACTAAATATAAAAATACATGAAAAAATTCTCACAAACAGCTATGAAATATATCAAAGATACAATAATGGACTCAAAAAATAAGCAGCAGATTTAAAAAGAAAAGCAAAGCTTTAGCACTAATATTTGGGTTTCAAAAACATAATAATTCAAAACTTCGATTCCCTAATGGTGTTTAAAAACGTTTAACTGTGTCATAACACAATGTTCAATGGCAAATTTCGCAAATTTAACGGAATAAAAACTATGAAAAGCCAAAATCCTAAACGCAGTAGCTCCCCTTTAAATCAGAGCAGCAGCGCAGCGAGGGCAGGGGGTTCCTGTCACACAGACGCGCACACACACAGGCAGAAAGTAGTGTTTTAGCAAAAATGCAAAAACAGAAAGAAGAACTTTCAAGATTACTTTTTTAAGCTAATATGACTGTTGTTTATACTTTTGTCATCCAAGTCTAGAAGTGATCACTTTCAACACTTGTAACAAAAGGCACTCTTGTCTTTAATGTTTACGCTTCTATTTTATCGAGGTAGCAAACTAGTTTAAACTCAAAATCTCTTTCTAAAAAACAAAAACAACTGTTGGATACAACCCTCTCATAGCTCAACTGTAGATAAAACTCGGCAAAAAATGTAAATAACTCACAAAAGCTCTCATAGCTCAACTTTAGATAAAACTCTGCATTCTCCGGTGAACTCTGTTCACGCCAAAAAACAAAAACTTAAATTACATACTTCTGTATGTAATTTAAACCGTGATCACTGAAATATTGTTGCTTCTTTACTTTTGTCATTTATCAGCCTGAAATTCGTCAATTTCAAAGCTTTTGTAACAACGACAGGTCTGTGTACAGGGATTTCTCCAACTTGAATCTCTTCTGGTTCGTTATTTTCAGGAACTATATCAGCATCTACTTGTGGTGAACGTTCCTCTCCCTCCTTCACAACGCGATCGTCTTCATTATCAGCCATGCCATCTTCGCCGTCACACGTAGTTCACTTCTTTTTACACGTGGCTCTCGCTGCAAGACGCAGATTTACTTTTCTTCTGTCTTCTCTTGCCAACGACCATCTTCTGACACCATGTTATGCCTGTTCTAGTGCAGATGAACAGTAGAGGCGTGTTTAATAAACTTGTATTTTTATTTAGAACAAGTAGCTACGGCAGGCTTGTACATCACACCTATGCGGAATGTCAACAGGAAGTAATCTTCCCCCCGCCACACATGCGTAACTCGCAAGGAATCATGGGAACTGGAGTTCCCATGTTACTAACACGTAACACCACAATGTGTACATTATAAAAGCATTAAAGTGGCGTCTGGATTTCAGCCACGCTGCAGGACTGGCCGCGCCATCAGGCAGCCTGCTCCATGCGCCATCCCTTGGCCTTTCAAGCCGGGACCGTGCGCAGTTGCTCACCTCAGCGGTATGTCTCGCTTCCATTTTTGTAGTTCCCCACTTTTTCATTTAGGATTTAGTTACGTTTAGTAATCTTCCAAAATTAATATTCTTTCTAGGTGTCCTCAGAGGTCTGCAGTGGCACGGACACGTTGCTCCTGCTGTTTTGTCTACTGCTGATTTTGTGTCTGCTTAAAGTGCAGTTTTATTGTTGCCTGTTCCCACTTTGCCTGCTCCTCCCAGTCTGGTCCAGGTCGCGCGCTGCGCACTGGTGTGTCCCTCCAGACGGTGGGCAGAGACGCGGCCCCGTGTGCACACTCTTTGCCCTGGGTTTTGCCTGCCAGGCGGACATCTCAAACAATATAACTTGATTTAACCTTTTATTTTAAACATTAGCGCTTTTTAACAGAAGTGTTTAACATAACAAACGAATGTTAAGTAAAGAAATCTTGTGAATAAAACTGTGAATTAACTGGAACCGGTTGCCTTGTATTTTCAATACGCTTACTTGTGTGCCTTCAACCTACACTACACTATTTCCCCAGGAAGCCTGGGGTGGCGTTGCTACAACCTCTCTAAAATCTTTATTTTTATTATTTATCTGATCTGTTAACCCCTCGGTTGCCACAAATGTAATTTTTTTACCCATGAGTCTCCTGAGTCTGGTGTGGGTTTGTCATTTGATATTCACCCTGATGAGCCGGAGTTAACGCGGCTGCTGAATCACGGATGGGTAGGGTTTTGAGAGTGCCTGCCCGCTTTAAGGATTTTGTTACTTACCATTGAGATATTTTGTTTACTTTTGTTTGTTCTTTTGGTGATGCTGTTGACATTATGTAGCAATGATGTATTTATCACTGTTTTTTTTTTCTATGTGGTTAAACAGGGACGTTTTTTTCCTGTTGGGGGGGGGGGCATGTTAACTTTTCTGTATCCCCAATGTTATTGTGACAAAGGGAGGCTAGGGTTCCTCTAAGAATGGCAGGGAAGTCTGGTAACAAACACGAGCGAAGCAGAAATGTGGAAAAATATACAAGTTTTATTTTTGACACCAATAGTTTAAAAAACAACCTTTTATTTACTGTTATTAAAATCTTTAAGATATAGCAGTGAAGGAAAACAAAACACTATTCACAACAGGTTTAATGAGCCAAACCAAACAGCAGCGGCTAACTGTTGGGTAGAGCACAGTACTGTTAGAATACACAAGACACTTAAACAAAACACAAAACACTTAAACCCAACTTGTGCGGAACGCGCCATACCTCGCATGAACATCAACCCGGCGCAATATGAAGCTCGGGCATGAAGCGGACACCAGCAGACCACCACCTGCCGTGACACAGGGTTAGCCAAGAAAAGGGAGCGAGTGCGTTCACTGACCGCCGGAATAAAACCCATAAGTAACCCGCCTGGTTACATCTACCCCCCCCCCCCCCCAACTGAATCGGTGTCCCACCGGTTAACACCACCTATGACCATGGACGGAATATAGCGGCTGCTAAGCTACTGGCACCCTCGATCCGAGAGGCAGCAACCCTATTTTCCTCGTGGTGGATCGGACCCGGTAAGCGATGGGGATTGGAATGCTGCCCTGCGGTCTTGCGTGTCGACTTACGCAGTGCAGACCCGGCGCGAGAAGGCACCACTGGAGATGGACTGGCGACAGGCAACTCCCAGGCGAGTGGCTCGACCGGCGTAGAAGGGGCACTGACCGACTCCCTGACCACCAGCCAAGCCCCCAACTCCAACTCATCTCCACTGGCCTCGTCCTCTACGAACGCCACCTGTGGCCAGACGTTCGAACTGGTCTCTGGAGGGGGCAAAGCAGGCTTCAGAGCAGTACGATGCACTTGTCTTACTTGGTCAAGCCTGTCGACGGGGGCGACTGAGTAGACCACACCTTGTTGGGCCGGCGCCTTCACTACCTGGTACATTGTTGGACCCCAGATATCTTGAATTTTCCTGCGCCCTGGGCCAACAGCCCGAAGATACACTCTCTGGCCTGGCTCGAGCGGCGGACACAGGGTCTGGCTGTCGTGTCTCTCCTTCCTTTGCTGGGCTGCCACCTCCATCCGACAGCGGGCAGCATCCATAGCCACCTGCAAGCGATTCCGATGCTCTGTCACCCAGTCCACCACTCCCCCAGCCTCAGGAAGTTTTCCAAGAAGAAAATCCACAGGGAGGTGGGGCTCCTGGCCGAACATCAACAGGTGGGGCGATTCGCCAGTAGACTGATGGGGGGTTGCGTTGTAGTTGAACACCAGCTGTGGGAGGCACCTTCGCCACTGTATGTGCCTTCTGATCACGAGTTGGCACCGCCTGGGTGAATTTGGAGAACACGTCCGTCATGACCAGCACCAACTCTCTTCCATCACGGGCAGGTTCCAACAATGCCCAGGGGTGCATGAAGCCTGGGCTGGGTGCTCTTTGCGACAATGCAGCGCTCACAGTTCTGACACCAGTCCTTTATATCACGGTCCATCCCTGCCCAGTAACACCGCTGCCGCACCACCCCAGTTGTCCGCTGGATCCCCTGATGACCGTGGTTCTGGTGCAACTCCTTCAGCACCTCCGACTGCAAACACTCCGGCAACAACAACTGGAGAACCTCCTCCCCTCCATCTGGTCTCAGCAGACGACGGAATAACAGTCCCTCCTTCTGTATGATACGGTCCCACTGCTTCACCAGCCCTCGAGTTCGAAAACTCAGCTTCTCCTGTTCGGCTCGGCTGGGCACCCGTTGTTGGCCCCAGAATGGCAGGAAAGCACTGATGGACGGGTCGGACCTCTGGAGCACTCTCAGGTCGGCTGAGCTGCGGGATGGCAAAACCGCAATGGCGGACTGGGTGGCCTCCAGCTGACCTTGGGCTGGACCCTCTGTGATGGATGCCGGAACCGGGGTACCAGGTAGGTAGTGCTCCAGTGGGACATGGTTGGCCTCTGTAAGGTCCCTCTGACGGGAGAGTGCATCGGTGTTCTTGTTGATCCGCCCTGGCCGATACTTCACGCTATAGTTGAAGGCAGATAGCTCGGCAACCCAGCGCTGCTCCGTAGCCCCGAGCTTAGCAGTTTCCAGGTGGCTCAGTGGGTTGTTGTCAGTCCACACAACACAGTAATGGCCCCACAGGTAGTCCTTGAATTTCTCTGCCATGGCCCACTTCATGGCCAACATTTCCAGTTTCATGGAGCTATAATTTTTCTCTGCAGGGTGCAAGCTGCGACTGCCATAGGCCACGGGTCGAACTTGTCCTCCTTGCTCCTGCGAGAGTACTGCTCCTAGTCCACAGTGGCTGGCATCCACCTCTAGAAGAAATGGCAAAGTGAAATCAGCAAATGCCAAAGTGGGTGCACTCACCAGGCGGGCCTTCATCACTGTGAAGCTCTCCTCACACTCCGCTGACCAGGCCTCGTCCAGCTGAGTTCCTCGACCCCTGCGATTGGTGGGTCCAGCCAACTCTGCCACGGCACGATGTAGGGGAGCAGCTAGCTTTGAGAACCCCTCCACGAACCTACGGTAATAGGAGGCAAAGCCGAGAAAGGACCGCAGCTCAGAGACAGTTTTCGGGCGAGGCCAGTTTAACACCGCAGAAATCTTCCCCGGATCGGTCGAGACCCCATTCTCTGAGATGCGATGCCCCAGGTACTGCACCTCTCTCTGAAAGAAGGCACACTTTTCCAACTTCACTTTTAGTCCTTCTTGCTGCAGACGGCCAAGCACCATCTCCAGTCACTTTAGGTGCTCCTCGACTGTTGAAGAAAATACTATTATATCATCGAGATATAGTAACAGGGATTGCCCATGCTGTGCACCAAACATTCGTTCCATGAGCCTTTGGAAAGTCCCGGTGCATTACATAGTCCAAATGGCATTCTGTTAAACTCGTATAATCCAAAGGGTGTGCAGAATGCAGTCTTTGATTTATCACCCTCCGTCACTGGTACTTGGTGGTAGCCGCACGCTAAGTCCATGGTGGTAAACCATTGGGCCCCGCACAAAGAGTCCAGGGACTCCTCAATTCGGGGCAGAGGGAAAGCGTCTCTTCGGGTTCTCTTATTAAGCTGCCTATAGTCTACACACAGGCGCAGAGAGCCATCCTTCTTGCGTACGATGACTATAGGGGAGGCGTAAGGGCTACTGCTCTCTCGGATTACCCCCGTGTCCAGCAGCTGATTAATGTGCGTTTTAACAGACTCATACTCTGAGGGAGGAATACGCCTATAACGCTGGCGCACAGGTGCATGGTCTAAAAGAGGAACATCGTGGGAAATGAGCCCAGTACAACCCAAGTCCCCGTCAAACGCGGAGAACACAGACTCATAGGTGATCAGCATTTCCCGGACTTTAAGCTGGTCTGCTTCCGGCAGCATAGAAAGATCAAGACCTAGTATGTTCTCTCGCACCGAACCCCTCTTGGCAGTGTGAGACCGGACGGTAGCTATAACTGCATCACGCTCATCGCGGACTTTGTGCACACCCGATGGCAAGCTGACTACCTCAACAGCGGATACTAGGGCCAAGGAGCAACGAGATTTTAAAGTCACCGGGGACCCACTAACATTTGTCACCGGTATGTAAGCGGTCCCTCTAACAACATTAACCAGGGTGGGTGACACCACTAACCCAGGAGGCAGACTAAACCCATGACCCAGGTGCTCAGCTAGGCTAGTCCCCGTAGCACCCACTGCAGCAGGACAGGTAGCGGCCACAAATTTTGTCGTGCCAGCAGGGATAACATTTTGTCTTCGATCTCGAACCTTTGCCACCGCCTCGCCAGCCATACAACTCTGTGCCTCTGCCTGCATACAAAGCTGAAACGCCGGTAACCAGGGTGTGGAGGCTTCCAACAGGGAAGTATTGCTAAACAAATTAGCTCCGTCCTGGTGAGAAAGCTGCTCGTAATATGCTTTTATAATATTCATACCGATAATTCCCGGAACTGAAGTGGAGCTAGCCTGCCCTGGGGGGTCCTTAACAACCAATACTCCTCTCCTGGGAATAACTTTCCCATTGACCTCTACATCAGGCTCAAGATAACCCAGGTAGGGGATCGTCAACCCATTAGCAGCCCTCAACTCTAGCCAATGACATGACTTTAACTTGTCCTGGAAATGCTGCCTGAAGTAGGACTCTGAAATGGTGGACACCATAGACCCAGTATCAAGAATACACTGAATGGGAACCCCCGCCAATTTAACACTGACTTGAGGACAAGGGGCCATTAAACACTCCACTTCTTCATTTCCCACTGGACTTCCTGAGCCTAACCCATCCCCCCCACTGTCTGGCTCCTTACAGTAGGGGGCGCTAGTTTCCCAGCGGCTGAAAGTTAGTGGTGGCTAAAGTTCGGGGTCGGGGACGAGAAGGGGAATTACAGAAACGAGCAATATGGCCTGGCTGCTGGCAACGATAACACACCACTACGTTAGGGCTCGAGAATTCAGCTGGCGGAGATTGCAAAGCGGCAAGGGCTTGGGTGATTTGTGCTAGTTGTTCCTGTTGATTCTGAACTAAAGCAGTAAGGGCGGTGATTTGAACTAAGGCATCATTACCCGGAGGGACTGACTGCAGATTAGCCCGTTGAGTAGCACATAACGAAGGCATGGCATCGAAATTTGGCCTCGCCTCAACCGGCCTGCCCTCTCGCTCCCACTTGATTGCCTCCGACCGGACATCTAGCAATTCACAGTTTGGATTGTCCCGCACTAACCGCTTTAACTCTCTTCTCAAATTGGGATCATGTACATTTTCCACAAATTGATCACGTAACCAGATTTGCGAGTTAGTCATTCTACATGGAGCATTAGCGACAACTTTATCCATTAGACAGAAAAGAGCATGGGAAAACTCTTGCAATGTTTCCCCCTCTAACTGTCTTCTAGAGAAAAAGTCTTCCTGCAGCAAAACATAAGGCTTTTGACATCCATACAACTCTTTTAAAACAGCAAACACAGTCTCTGGGTCATCCCGTTCAGCCACAGTTCTGTACTTTATTTCATCACGCGCTTCACCCTCCAAATGATCAAAAATAAACGCAGCCTGGTCCGTAGGTCCAACATGTCTCACGCACATACTTGCACGTACCTCCTCCACCCAGTCATCAATCCCAATCCCGTGAGTTCCTCGAAACATGGGGCACTTTCGTTCACGAGGAAGGTAGATGACACGCTCTGTAGTCCCTGGGTTGTCCACTTGTCCTCTCAGACTAGGACCGGCCTCCCGCTCCTGGTGCAGCTGGGCTCGTTCCGCCTCCAACTCACGGACCCTCTCCTGAAGCCGCCGCAGTTCCTCCGCAGTTCCTCCGCCATGACTCAGGAGTTGTGGACATCAGCAAGTCTCCAACACGTCCCCCGGCCTGCCAGCTGCTGTTTGATTTGGCTCTCAAACTTTTTTTTATTTTTTTTATTTTAATTTTTATTTATATTACACACATTTATATTTTCCTGACCCTAACAAGTAAACCAAAATTCACACTCTGCTTCGCTCACCAGATCCTGCCAGCAACGCCAATTGTGACAAAGGGAGGCTAGGGTTCCTCTAAGAATGGCAGGGAAGTCTGGTAACAAACACGAGCGAAGCAGAAATGTGGAAAAATATACAAGTTTTATTTTTGACACCAATAGTTAAAAAAACAACCTTTTATTTACTGTTATTAAAATCTTTAAGATATAGCAGTGAAGGAAAACAAAACACTATTCACAACAGGTTTAATGAGCCAAACCAAACAGCAGCGGCTAACTGTTGGGTAGAGCACAGTACTGTTAGAATACACAAGACACTTAAACAAAACACTTAAACCCAACTTGTGCGGAACGCGCCATACCTCGCATGAACATCAACCCGGCGCAATATGAAGCTCGGGCATGAAGCGGACACCAGCAGACCACCACCTGCTGTGACACAGGGTTAGCCAAGAAAACAAACACTACTCACATGTAGAACTCACATTACTCATCTGCTCCACACACACACGACCCCAAACCCGAAGCTCCAGAGGTGTGCTGCTCTGGTTTGCGCACCGGCTTTACATTACTGCTAATTAGCTGCCGCAGCTGGTAGGCAGACAGCAAGGGAGCAAGTGCGTTCACTGACCGCCGGAATAAAACCCACAAGTAACCCGCCTGGTTACATTATAATATGCTTTTATTTTGTGAAGGGAAATAGACCGGAAATAAGAGGACCTGGTTGTTACCTCAGGTGAATTGTTGAGACGGAGCTGTGGAGATGAATAAATTATCTCCAACGATCTGGCTTCATTCTCTCCTTTCTCAAGCGTACAGAACTGGGAAACTTTAAGGAATAATTAAGATATATTCCAGACTCTATTCAGTTATGAGTTTAGATAATATTATTATTCCATTAAATTGTGTCTTAGCGTCCAGGAACCCATCTCCAGATGTTGATGCTCTTGGTCAGGACTACCGGAGCTGGAGGATTTTTCCCTATTGTGCACGTTTTTAGTGGTAGTCGAAACCGGAGCACCTGGAGTAAATTGACAACTCCCACGTGCAGATTGTAGAGTAGCGCAAGTTTCTTGGTTTAACTCTGTCTAATGACCTAAAATGTAACAACAACACTAACCAGGTTGTTAAAGAAGCTATACCCGATATATTTTCTATTCATAGTAGAAAATATATCGGGTATAAATGTGTATTACTACATACAAGTTGTATTAAAATCCCTAATTTACTTGTGTATGAATTCAGGCCATAAAACTTAGCGTGACGCTAGCTCTCCTCCATTCACAGAACGAGGCACTTTTACGAACAGGCTGCCTCCTCTAGCGTCTACAGCGCCAGTAAACCAGTGGGGGCGGGTCCCAGCTCAAAAGTAGCCAATGTGACGTGCGCTGACATGCTTGCAATACCACCCCAGGCCGATGGGGGTGGACCCAGAAGAAAAATTAGCCAATGCTAACATATAGCATTGGCAGACCTCTCGAAAACGTCTTTACAGGATGGACCAAAAGTTGGCTCTTGGCCCAAAGCTCCGTTCCACATGTGTGTCAATGCTGAGGGGGGTGAATTTTTTTGGTCCACTCTAGTTTACTTGTTGTGCATTTTTGAAGTCTCTCGTTCAAATGAATGGAGCTGCGCCGGCTGACGCATGTGCAGATGCGTTTTTTCACAATTTTCTTGTGGGCGGGACCACTCGCGGCTATTTTGGATAGCCCCAGTAGAGCAAATTTTTTGACCCATTAGTTAGAACGGCGGAGATAGGCGTGACTCTGTCCGTTACGTGACTCTGTCCTCTGTCCGTTACGTGACTCTGTCCGTTAACTCATGGACTGCCAGCCGTTTTTGATGATTTCACTGATTCTCAAGACCCACAGAATATGATGTGCTATGACTATGTGAAATATGAAACCAAATTGTGAAAGACTGGGTTGTCTACTTTCATCAGCAAAAATAAGTTTGTTTCTAGCTATTTTGTGTTGTCCTGTAATCCCCAGTCAAATAGCGGAAAGTTTAACAGAAATCACCGGTCTCAGACAAATACGTCAATGGCAGTCAATGAGTTAATATATATTAACGGACAGTCACGCCTATCTCCGCCGTTCTAACTAATGGGCCAAAAAATGTAGCCTGACTCTCGCCAGACCCATGTAGTTTGCTGCACTTCACACATGAGTCTGGTACTGAGCCATAGTGGTTGGATTTCAGAAGGCAGGGCCTTGTAAATAAAATCCTTGTATGTGATTGGATAGACCACTTGTCTGTTATCTTGAATGAAGTCTGCTTTCAACCACTCACATCGAAGCACACGGCTCCCATAGGTTGCCAAATCCCAGCAAGATTTTCCAACCCAAAATCCGCGAGAATACCCAAAAAAAAAAAACACTCAGAATGAGTTTTTGGCTAAAAACGTAATGTAATCAACTTGGGCTATCATGATTCTGTTTATTGTCCTTCTGTTTATTTAATACCTACAAGTCTCTTGGAAAAAAAATATGCGGTAACCACCAAACCTGGCAACCCTGCTGCATAGTGTGTAAACAGGAACACTGAACCGATGCTTCAACCAAACTTTACAGGAACATTTGACTCTTAAAACACACATATATCAACATAGAACCATCAACATCTCGCCTCAAATTGCATTAAAAGTGACATCCGTGTCTTAGTTCGATCGTATTTACTCTTTTAAAAAGATTCGCGGACTTTACGTCCGCCATCTTGGATTCCTCTCGCTGCTGCATGAGAGAAGCTTGAGAAGGCAGTGCAAACCCCACGTAACACCGGCAATCCTGATTGGTCGATTAAAAAATAATCTGGGGAAGGCGTTCGCTATGGCGTAGATACCAGACACATGTGGTTCAGCCAAACGCCTCTGGTGGAGCATGGCGGAACTACAAGGGTCTGGCAGAGCCAGGCTACAAAAAATGTGCTCTACTGGGGCTATCCAAAATGGCCGCGAGTGGTCCCGCCACGGATCTATTATAATAACTGGATAGGGTATTACTAGCTTGTAGCTGAATAACTCACATGCTCGGGGGATTCTCGCGTTACTGCAGACTGAACCAGACTAAATTCACGTGGGCTACCCAGAAATTTTCCCAATGCATATTAAAACAGCTCAACCTCAGCTGACAGAGAACCTACAGCTTTAATAAAGATTGGATTTTATGGGGATTTTAGTGTCCCTTGTCATCCTAAACTTTTTTCCTTCTTAAATCCTTCGGTTTTGTTTAAATCCACACTTTAGTGCCACAAACTCTGCTCGTCTGGCTCTCGCTCTAACTCCCGCTCTGATGAATTGGTCAGAGCGCGGCCGAGCCCCTCTGTGCACGTGCGTGAGACCCGGTGTGAGACCCACACACGCGTGTTTGGCGCAACACATCATGGGAGATCATCCACTGCGCAGAACGAGAGACTTCAAAAATTCACAGCAAGTAAACTAGAGTGGACCAAAAAATCCACCCCCCTCAGCACATTTTATGCAGTAAACACAGCAGCATGTTAGCAGAAAGTGGCTATAACTCCTCTGACTATAACTGCATACACAGCAAAACAGCCCAAATGACGCAAAAGTGAGGAATTGAAGAGGGAACTAAAGCGAAAAAATGATCAAGGAGAAATCAAGCCCGGGTGATTTAGCAAGGATAGCTAACATTGTATCCTCACTGGAAAAACCCGCGGGAGCAGGACTGCCTCGGACTACGTTTGGACGCGAAACTAGCGGTAATCTTTCTGTTATATATTTTGTTAGCAGTGCGTTGCTTTTGTACATTTTATCAGTGATTGTTGAACAGCTTACAAGACGTTGCGCTAATGCTAACGTTAGCATACGTATCAGATCGCAAATAAAACTAGATGGCTTTGTGGGAGAAAAGCGTAGGGGAAATGAGAAGCCTGTGAGCAAGTTGAGCGGCGTTGCTAAACATTCAAACTGAAAAAACCTTGCAGAAATGGGTGTAGCTCCTTTTAATGAAAGCTCGACAGCATCTCTACTTTCTGCGGAAACGTAGAGAATTTACCACAAACTCTAAGATCCTGTTTGACTTTTATCGCCGCACCAATTCAAGTTTGCTTGTTGGTTCTGTGAATGTGTGGTTTGGTAACATCTCAGCCAAATATAGGAGAACTCTAAACAAGCTCTTTGAATAATCAATGACTCTTTTGGCCACCCTGGAAAAGCCACGTTCCAGCTTCTTGCCAGCTTCTCGTTGAGATGCAGGACATTTTGTTTTGCCAACAGCTTCTTTCCACAAGCTATTAAACAGATCACTTTAATAATCTTGCACTTGTATTGACTGTTTTTAGTTAATCAATTTCACAGGGTCAATTGTGTTTGTTTTGTCTTGTGCACATGGGGTATGGGGTGCCGATTGTAAAAATTCTGTAAAAATTTTTTAGCTGAACATTTTTCTACATTTAGCTCACTTTCCTCACATTTAGCACATTTTCCTCACATTTAAGACATATCTATATCTAAATATTATATCTATATCTAAATGTTAAATGTTGTTCCCCTACGATAACACAGCTAGCACCGCGGCTATCACAGGCTAGCCGCGCTTAACAAGCTAGCCCGCGCTAACACAGCTAGCCCGCGCTAACACGTAGCCCGACGTAACACAGCTAGCCCGCGCTAACACAGCTAAGCCCGTGCTAACACAGCTTGCCCGCGCTAACACAGCTAGCCACGCGCTTACACAGCTAGCCCCGCGCTACACAGCCTTGCCCGGCGCTAACACAGCTTAGCCCGCGCTATAACACAAGCTAGCCCGCGCTAACACAGCTAGCCCGTTGCTAACACAGCTAGCCCGCGGCTAACACAGCTAGCCCGCGCTAACACAGCTAGCCCGCGCTAACACAGTAGCCCGTGCTTACACAGCTAGCCCGTGCTAACACAGCTAGCGTGCTAACACACTAGCCCGCGCTAACACAGCTAGCCCGCGCTAACAACAGCTAGCCCGCTCTCCCCCCTCGGTGATAAAACAGTTAGCACGTGCTAACACAGCTAGCCGTGCAAAACACAGCTAGCCCGTGCTAACACCAGCTAGTCGCAGCAGCTAACACAGCCAGCCCGTGCGCTAACACAGCTCTCCCGCGCTAACACAAGCTAGCCCGTGCTAACACAGCTAGCCCGCGCAATCAAGCTAGCCCGTGCTATCACAGGCTAGGACGTGCTATACACAGCTAGCCCCTGCTAACACAGTAGCCCGTGCTTATAAACTGCTAGCCGTGCTAACACAGGGGGGGCTAGCCCGCGCTAATATCAGCAGCCCGTGCTAACACAGCTAGCCCGCGCTAACAACAGCTTAGCCCGTGCTAACACAGCTAGCCCGACGCTAACACAGCTAGCCCGTGCTAACACAGTAGCCGTGCATACA